CACTCTGAAGTCACTCTGAAGTTACTCTGAAGATACTCTGAAGTTACTCTGAAGTTAAGTTACTCTGAAGTCACTCTGAAGTTACTCTGAAGTTACTCTGAAGTCACTCTGAAGTTAATCTGAAGTTAATCTGAGGTTACTCTGAAGTGACTCTGAAGTTACTCTGAAGTCACTCTGAAGTGACTCTGAAGTTACTCTGAAGTCACTCTGAAGTCACTCTGAAGTTACTCTGAAGTTACTCTGAAGTCACTCTGAAGTTAATCTGAAGTTAATCTGAAGTTACTCTGAAATTACTCTGAAGTTACTCTTACCCTGAAGTTACTCTGAAGTTACTCTGAAGTCATTCTGAAGTTAATCTGAAGTTACTTTGAAATTACTCTGAAGTCACTCTGAAGTTACTCTGAAGTTACTCTTACCCTGAAGTTACTCTGAAGTTACTCTGAAGTTTCTCTGAAGTCACTCTGAAGTTACCCTGAAGTTACTCTGAAGTTACCCTGAAATTACTCTGAAGTCATTTAATAAGTGCATCCTTAAGTCCACAGCGGCTAAACTAGACTGGTTCAAAAACATACACTCCCCTCAGACAGCATCTGGAACCAAGAGGACCAAGAACCACTTTTGGATCAAGAACCACTTTTGGACCAAGAACCACTTTAGGACCAAGAACCACTTTCGGACCAAAAACCACTTTTGGACCAAGAACCACTTTTGGACCAAGAACCACTTTTGGACCAAGAACCTCTTTAGGACCAAGAACCACTTTTGGACCAAGAACCACTTTTGGACCAAGAACCACTTTTGGACCAAGAACCACTTTTGGACCAAGAACCACTTCTGAAGTTACTCTGAAGTCACACTGAAGTCACTCTGAAGTTACTTTGAAGATACTCTGAAGTCACTCTGAAGTTAAGTTACTCTGAAGTTACTCTGAAGTTACTCTGAAAATACTCTGAAGTTAAGTCACTCTGAAGTCACTCTGAAGTTAATCTGAAGTCACTCTGAAGTTACTCTGAAGTTACTCTGAAGTTACTCTGAAGTCACTCTGAAGTTACTCTGAAGTTACTCTGAAGTTACTCTGAAGTTACTCTGAAGTCACTCTAAAGTTACTCGGAAGTTACTCTGAAGATACTCTGAAGTTACTCTGAAGTTAAGTTACTATGAAGTCACTCAGAAGTCACAAGCGGGCGGCACGGTGGCTGAGTGGATAGCACTCTCGCCTCTCAGCAAGAAGGTCCTGGGTTCGAATCCCAGTCGGACCAGGGCCTTTCTGAGTGGAGTTTGTATGTTCTCCCCGTGTCTGCGTAGGTTTCCTCCGTGTACTCCGGTTTCCCCTACCACTAAAAATATGTCCAATAGTTCTAGCATGCGCCTCCTGTTCGGCGACCCCGCTCCCATCTCTGTGTGGATTGAGAGACAAGTGCCCAAAAAATAACAATTGTAAACCGCTTTGAGACTCAGATCTGCAGTGAAAAGGCGGTATATAAATAAAGATTACTTACTACTACTCTGAAGTCACTCTGAAGTTACTCTGAATTTATTCTAAAGTTGCTCTGAAGTTACTCTTACTCTGAAGTTACTCTGAAGTTACTCTGAAGTTACTCTGAAATTACTCTGAAGTTACTCTTACCCTGAAGTTACTCTGAAGTCATTCTGAAGTTAATCTGAAGTTAATCTGAAGTTACTATGAAATTACTCTGAAGTCACTCTGAAGTTACTCTTACCCTGAAGTTACTCTGAAGTTACTCTGAAGTTTCTCTGAAGTCACTCTGAAGTTACCCTGAAGTTACTCTGAAGTTACCCTGAAATTACTCTGAAGTTACTCTGAAGTTAAGTCACTCTAAAGTTACTCTGAAGTTACTCTGAAGTCATTTAATAAGTGCATCCTTAAGTCCACAGCGGCTAAACTAGACTGGTTCAAAAACATACACTCCCCTCAGACAGCATCTGGAACCAAGAGGACCAAGAACCACTTTTGGACCAAGAACCACTTTAGGACCAAGAACCACTTTTGGACCAAGAACCACTTTTGGACCAAGAACCTCTTTAGGACCAAGAACCACTTTTGGACCAAGAACCACTTTTGGACCATCCTGTAAAGGCGTTTTCCAGATGAAGTCTCTGTATAAACCATGTGTGTAGTCTCCGTATAAATCATGCGTGTAGTCTCCGTATAAACCATGTGTCTAGTCTCTGTATAAAACCATGTGTTTAGTCTCTGTGGTAACCGTGGTAACGCTAGCATTATTAGGATTTTGACTGTAGTTTGTTCATTGCTATTCACCCGTTGTCCCATTGTCTGTTTCATGGTACGATGACGGGATCTCTGAGCCTGGCCTCCTCCATCTACACCTGCGGACTGCCCCGCCCGACCCGCCTGGGAGTGCTTCGGTCCTGCACCGGACCTGTCCACGTTCAGCGGCCACTGGTCCACGTCCTGTAGCTAGCTTAGCTCCTGGGTCATTAGCCTGTCCGTCCGGAGGAGCGGATCCCTTTCTCAAATGGGTCTCCCTCCCTGTGGGTTTCCCTAGTTCTCCCCAAGGTTTCTCACTTTTTCCCACTGGGTTTTTTAAGAGTTGTTCCTTGTGGATGCAGGAGGGTCTTGTTGGACAGTTAGTGTCCAACAGAAAGGATTGGTGATGATCAGGACACTTTAGCATTCTACAACATGTATGGACATTTTCTTCTGTGTGTGCTTGTGTGCTTTATATTCTTCATGTGTTTTAACTGTTGATTCTCTGACCTGTGTTGGTGATTTCAATGGTTTTGTTAAGTCTCTGAGATGACTTCTGTTGTGACCTAGGGCTATACAACAATACATTCTATTGTAATTGTATTGTATTGTGCTGACGACCACAAGCTAGCTGACGAACTGAACTTATTTTTCAGTCGCTTTGATGCTGCCCCTGACACCTCCCCCTCCCCCACCCCCCACTACTCTAACGACCCACCCATCAGCCCTGCCCCCAGCCTAACAATAGCCGCTAAAGAGATTAAACAACTCTTCCTGAGGCTGCACCCCCGCAAAGCTCCTGGCCCGGACCACGTGTCTCCGGCCACTCTGAGACACTGCGCCAGTGAGCTTACTCCTGTGTTCACTGACATTTTCAACACCTCTCTGCAGTCCTGCCATGTCCCGGCCTGCTTCAAATCCTCCATCATTGTCCCCGTCCCGAAGAAGCCCAGGATCACAGGACTCAATGACTACAGACCTGTAGCACTTACGTCTGTCGTCATGAAGTCATTTGAACGCCTGGTTCTCTCCCATCTCAAGTCCTTCACCTCCCCCCTCCTGGACCCCCTGCAGTTCGCCTACAGAGCCAATCGAATCAATCAATCAATTTTTTATTTGTATAGCGCCCAACAACAGCCAGAAGGTGCCCAGGGCGCTTTCCAGGATAAAAACAAGAATCACAATAGACACCGATAAAAACAAACACATAAAAAAGAACAGCAGTCGAGTCAGTGATTATGCATTGAATGCTTTCCTGAAAAGATGTGTCTTCAACTGTGATTTAAAAACACTCAACTCAGTGATGTTTCGAAGCTGTACAGGAAGTGCGTTCCACAGCTTTGGGCCTTGGGCAGCAAATGAACGGCCTCCAAACTTTTTGTATTTGAATTTGGGAGTGACAAGGGAGGTGTGTTCAGAGGAGCGCAGAGCTCTGGCTGGTTTGTAGACCGTTACTAGTTCGGCGAGGTAGGCCGGGGCCAGACCATTGATAGCCTTGAACACAAACATCAGGACCTTAAACTCCACCCTAAATGCCACCGGGAGCCAGAGGAGAGAGCGGAGGACTGGGGTGATGTGTGAGCGTCTGGAGGTGTTGGAGAGGAGAACCAACAGATCTGTAGACGACGCCATTAACCTGGCCCTCCACCACATCCTACAGCACCTGGACTCCCCGGGGACCTACGCCAGGGTCCTGTTCGTGGACTTCAGCTCTGCCTTCAACACAATCCTGCCATCCCTGCTCCAGGACAAGCTCTCCCAGCTCAACGTGCCCAATTCCACCTGCAGGTGGATCACTGACTTCCTGACGGACAGGAAGCAGCGAGTGCGTCTGGGGAAGAATGTCTCGGACTCTCGGATTATAAATACAGGAGCCCCACAGGGCTGTGTTCTTTCTCCCCTGCTCTTTTCCCTGTACACCAACCACTGCACCTCCAGCCACGACTCCGTGAAGCTGATCAAGTTCGCGGACGACACCACCCTCATTGGACTCATCTCCAACAACGATGAGTCCGCCTACAGGAGGGAGGTGGACCGGCTGGTGTCCTGGTGTCTCCTACAGGAGGGAGGTGGACCGGCTGGTGTCCTGGTGTCTCCTACAGGAGGGCGGTGGACCGGCTGGTGTCCTGGTGTCTCCTACAGGAGGGAGGTGGACCGGCTGGTGTCCTGGTGTCTCCTACAGGAGGGAGGTGGACCGGCTGGTGTCCTGGTGTCTCCTACAGGAGGGAGGTGGACCGGCTGGTGTCCTGGTGTCTCCTACAGGAGGGAGGTGGACCGGCTGGTGTCCTGGTGTCTCCTACAGGAGGGAGGTGGACCGGCTGGTGTCCTGGTGTCTCCTACAGGAGGGAGGTGGACCGGCTGGTGTCCTGGTGTCTCATACAGGAGGAGGTGGACCGGCTGGTGTCCTGGTGTCTCCTACAGGAGGGAGGTGGACCGGCTGGTGTCCTGGTGTCTCCTACAGGAGGGAGGTGGACCGGCTGGTGTCCTGGTGCAGTGGTAACAACCTGGAGCTGAACGCCCAGAAGACAGTGGAGATGATTGTGGACTTCAGGAAGAGCACTGTCCCCCCACCCCCACCCTCCGTGATGGACTCCCCCATCACCTCTGTGGAGTCCTTCCGTTTCCTGGGCACCACCATCACCCAGGACCTCAAGTGGGAGCCGACCATCAGCTCCCTCATCAAGAAGGCCCAGCAGAGGATGTACTTCCTGCGGCAGCTCAGGAAATCCAAGCTGCAGTTCTACACGGCCATCATCGAGTCCATCCTCACCTCCTCCGTCACCTCCTCCATCACCTCCTCCATCACCTCCTCCATCACCTCCTCCATCACCTCCACCATCACCTCCTCCATCACCTCCTCCATCACCTCCACCATCACCTCCTCCATCACCTCCACCATCACCTCCTCCATCACCTCCTCCATCACCTCCTCCATCACCTCCTCCATCACCTCCTCCATCACCTCCACCATCACCTCCTCCATCACCTCCTCCGTCACCTCCTCCATCACCTCCTCCATCACCTCCTCATCACCTCCTCCATCACCTCCTCCATCACCTCCTCCATCCCCTCCTCCATCATCTCCACCATCATCTCCTCCATCACCTCCTCCATCACCTCCTCCATCACCTCCTCCATCACCTCCTCATCACCTCCTCCATCACCTCCTCCGTCACCTCCTCCGTCACCTCCTCCATCACCTCCTCATCACCTCCTCCATCCCCTCCTCCATCCTCTCCACCATCACCTCCTCCATCACCTCCTCCATCACCTCCACCATCACCTCCTCATCACCTCCTCCATCACCTCCTCATCACCTCCTCCATCACCTCCTCCATCACCTCCTCATCACCTCCTCCATCACCTCCTCCATCACCTCCTCATCACCTCCTCCATCACCTCCTCCATCACCTCCTCCATCACCTCCTCCAGCACCTCCTCCATCACCTCCTCATCACCTCCTCCATCACCTCCACCATCACCCCCTCTATCACCTCCTCCATCACCCCCTCCATCTCCTCCTCCATCACCTCCTCCATCACCTCCTCCATCTCCTCCTCCATCACCTCCTCCATCACCTCCTCCATCACCTCCTCCAGCACCTCCTCCATCACCTCCACCATCACCTCCTCCATCACCTCCTCCATCACCTCCTCCAGCACCTCCTCCATCACCTCCACCATCACCTCCTCCATCTCCTCCTCCATCACCTCCTCCATCACCTCCTCCATCACCTCCTCCATCACCGTGTGGTTCGCTGGAGCCACAGTCAGGGACAAACAGAGACTACAGTGCATTGTGCGCTCTGCAGTGGAAGTGATCGGCCGCAGCCTTCCATCGCTGCAGGACCTGTACGTCGCCCGAGCTCGAGGCCGGGCTGGTCGTATCACAGCCGACCCCTCTCACCTGCACATGGACTATTCCAACCACTCTCCTCTCACCTGCACATGGACTATTCCAACCACTCCCCTCTCACCTGCACATGGACTATTCCAACCACTCCCCTCTCACCTGCACATGGACTATTCCAACCACTCCCCTCAGGCAGGAGGCTGCGGTCCATCAGGACTAGAACCTCCCGCCACAAGAACAGTTTCTTCCCCTCTGCTGTTGGACTCTTGAACACTTCTTAACCTGTCCCCCCGCCCTTTATAAAGTCACTTTACTGCCCATCATACGTCACTTTACTTCACTGTACTGCTGTCACCTTACATTGTGTGCACCATGTGCACTTGGATATTGTAAATAGTAACTGTAACTCTATTTTAAATTTAAATGTATTCTTTAGAAGTGTTTTTTATTCTTATTTTTATTATCTCTTTCTGACTGTTGCACTGAGCCAAAGCAATTTCCAAGTCTGTGACTTCCTGTTACTTACGTGGCAATAAAAATGATTCTGATTCTGGGTATTGAGAAGCTCTGTTCGTGTCAGACTTCTGCATTTGAATTTTGGCCCACTCTTCCTGACAATAATAATGTATCAAATGTTAATGTAGTTGATGTTGCTTTGTCAGATCATTTCTGTGTATTTTTTGACATGTGTTTTGCTAGCAAACCACCAGCTGAATTTACAATTGTTAGAAGAAGACACATACATGAAAACACAAGTGAACTGTTCATGGGAATGCTAAATTTTGAGAAAACTCCATGCTCTACTGTTGATGAATTGTATAAACTCTGTCACCACCAGTGTTCTGACTGTTCTGGACGCCATTGCTCCTGTGACGGTTAAAATAGTTACCAGTAAGAAAAAGGCCCCATGGACTAAGGCAGACTCGGTCAGGGCACAGAAGCAAGAGTGCCGGAGGGCCGAACGGAAGTGGCGAAAGTCCAATTTCCAGGGCGATTATGAAATCTTTAAAGATGAGTTGGGTGAATTTAACCGGGTTCTACGTAGAACAAGAGAAATGTATTTTTCTGACATTATTGGAGGTTGCAGTAACAATTTTCGTGTTATGTTTTCAACAGTTGGTAGATTAACAAACCCCCCTGTAAAGTTGCCCCTAGAATTTTCCTCTAAATCTAGGTGTAATGAGTTCGCACAGTTTTTCGATGACAAAGTACAAGGAATCAAAAACACTATCACCTCCACAGCACGTATAACAATGCAACAGCCAGAGAAGCTTTTTGAGCTAGCTCACTTTGCACCTGTGGATACTGAAACTGTCAAAAAGATAATCATGAGTCTGAGCTCCTCCACATGTAGCCTGGATGTATTGCCCTCTAAATTTCTGAAGTCCGTCCTGAGCAGTTTGTTACCTTCACTGACACAAATAGTAAACATGTCTCTGTCGTCAGGAACATTTCCTATAGCCCTAAAAACAGCAGTCATAAGACCTCTCCTAAAAAAGAGCAGTCTGGATCCTGCGGGACTTCAAAATTATCGCCCCATATCGAATCTGCCATTCATTGGAAAAATTCTTGAAAAAGTGGCCTCCCAACAACTTACTGAATTTTTAACAATGAATAATTCTTTTGATATGTTCCAGTCTGGGTTTAGACCCCACCACAGCACTGAGACCGCTCTAGTGAAGGTAACAAACGACATTCGACTTCACACTGATGCAGGTAAAGTCACAGTTTTGGTCATGTTAGATCTTAGTGCAGCGTTTGACACTGTCGACCATGAGATCCTCATGCAGAGACTGGAGGACTGGGTTGGTGTCACTGGCACAGCCCTAGACTGGTTTAGGTCTTACCTGGAGGATAGGAAGTACTCTGTGGAGATTGGAGACTGCGTCTCAGATGATGTGGCCCTGACCTGTGGAGTACCACAGGGGTCGATTCTGGGACCTCTCCTATTTAATCTCTACATGCTGCCGTTAGGTCAGTTAATACAAAGAAACAAAGTGTCCTACCACAATTACGCCGACGACACTCAGATCTATGTCTCACTGACTGCAGGAGAACATGGACCACTGGATTTGCTCCTTCACTGTATCCAACAGATCAGTGACTGGATGCAAAATAATTTCCTCCAGCTAAATACAGACAAAACCGAAATCATTGTCTTTGGTCCCCAAAAACAAAGAGAGGGCGTCATTTGTCAACTTCAGTCTCTCTCCCTACTTCCTTCAGACAAGGTCAGAAATTTGGGGGTAATACTGGACTCAGACCTAAATTTCAATAGCCACATAAAATCAATAACATCAACAGCTTTTTACCATCTGAAGAACATTGCCAAAGTTAGAAATATAGTGTCCAGGGCAGACTTGGAGATTCTTGTCCATGCATTTGTCTCCAGCAGGCTAGACTACTGCAATGGCCTGCTTACAGGTCTGTCCAAACAGACCTGTAAGCAGCTGCAGTACACATCCAAAATGCAGCAGCTAGAGTCCTGACAGGAACCAGGAAGTATGACCATATTAGTCCGGTCCTCAGGTCTCTGCACTGGCTTCCTGTGGCTCAAAGAATAGATTTTAAAACGGCTCTGCTTGTGTACAAGTCTCTCCATGGCCTTGCACCAGAATACATTAGTGACATGTTGGTGTCATATGAACCGGCCCGGACTCTGAGGAGCACAGGGACTGGCCTCCTGCTGGTGCCCAGAGTGAGAACCAAACATGGGGAGGCTGCGTTTCAGATCCATGCAGCTAAGATCTGGAACAATCTCCCTGGAAATGTGAGGGAGGCGTCTACTCTGTCAATGTTCAAATCCAGGTTAAAGACTGTTCTGTTTGCCTGTGCATACAACTGAAGGATTTTATCTCCATTTCTAATGCACTGCTGTCATTTTTTTTTTTTTTTTTTTTTTTTTAATTTCTTGTGTAATTTTGAAAGTTTTAATGGTTTTATTCTTTTGTGTGATTTTAATGTTTTAATTGTGTTTTAATCTTTTGTGTGATTTTAATGTTTTAATTGTGATTCTGGTGTTTGTTTTATGTGATGATTTGTGATGTGGACTGTGAAGCGCTTTGTGTTGCCCTGTGTATGAAAGGCGCTCTACAAATAAACTTTGATTGATTGATTGAATAATAATATGATAATAAGTCGATTAAGACTCGTTCGGTTTCTCGTGAGTACTCAGCCTGGTCCTGACTGAGGACTCGTTCTGGTCCTGGTCTTCACCGAGGACTCGTTCTGGTCCTTGTGGCAGACTGTTTACTCTAAGAACTTCAGTCTTTTTATGTTATAAAACTTTTATATTATATAATATTTATTATCTTACAGCGGTCGTCTTTATCACAGGAAAGTATCAGCTGCAAAACCTCAGAGAGCGACCAGAGAGGGACCAGAGAGAGACCAGAGAGAGACCAGAGAGAGACCAGAGAGAGACCAGAGAGAGAGATCAGAGAGAGACCAGAGAGAGACCAGAGAGGGACCAGAGAGAGACCAGAGAGAGACCAGAGAGAGACCAGAGAGAGACCAGAGAGGGACCAGAGAGAGAGACCAGAGAGAGACTAGAGAGAGACCACAGAGAGAGACCAGAGAGAGACCAGAGAGAGACTAGAGAGAGAGAGACCAGAGAGAGACCAGAGAGAGACTAGAGAGAGAGACTAGAGAGAGAGAGACCAGAGAGAGAGACCAGAGAGAGAGACCAGAGAGAGACTAGAGAGAGAGAGACCAGAGAGAGACTAGAGAGAGAGACTAGAGAGAGAGAGACTAGAGAGAGAGACTAGAGAGAGAGAGACCAGAGAGAGAGACCAGAGAGGTGTACCATGTAACAGTGAGGGACCATTGTACTATATAAATGCTTCAGTCGTGATAGCATAATAAAAACAAAAGGCTCTTCATGGTCACATCAAAACCATGTGTTTATTGCTTGTTGGAGCCACCAGCGGCTTTTACAGTCAAACAGTTGAGCCCCAGTTATAGTTTGTTTACAGAGTTTGAAAACAAAAAAATAAAGTATTGATATAAAATACATATAAAGCTGTAGTAATTAGAGAATGATATACGTTTTGTTCATAGACAATAGAGAGCCAAATTCTCTCATGGCAACTACATAGCAACCAAAGAGCCAATCAGGAGCAAGGCTGGCCTGTTAGCGCTTATGCTATTCGCTAGCTGAAGCCAGATTAGGAGGCGCCTGAGTCAAATATCTGGATTTACAAAGACATTTCAAAATAAAAGCAGCCATATGTTTGTGAGACCAGAGAGAGACCAGAGAGAGACCAGAGAGAGACCAGAGAGAGACCAGAAAGAGACCAGGGAGAGACCAGGGAGAGACCAGAGAGAGAGACCAGAGAGAGACCAGAGAGAGAGAGCAGAGAGAGACCAGAGAGAGAGACCAGAGAGAGACCAGAGAGAGAGACCAGAGAGAGAGACCAGAGAGAGAGACCAGAGAGAGAGACCAGAGAGAGACAGAGAGAGACCAGAGAGAGACCAGAGAGAGAGACCAGAGAGAGACCAGAGAGAGACCACAGAGAGAGCAGAGAGAGACCAAATAGCGACCAGAGAGAGAGCAGAGAGAGAGACCAGAGAGAGAGACCAGAGAGAGACACCAGAGAGGGACCAGAGAGAGAGGCCAGAGAGAGGCCAGAGAGAGACCAGAGAGAGAGACCAGGGAGAGACCAGAGAGAGAGACCAGAGAGAGACCAGGGAGAGACCAGAGAGAGACCAGGGAGAGACCAGAGAGAGACCAGAGAGAGACCAGAGAGAGACCAGAGAGAGAGAGACCAGAGAGAGAGACCAGAGAGAGAGACCAGAGTCTTTTTTCCGTAACTTATAGTAATTCCCTTTACCAGAGTGTGTTTGCTCGTCACATGGTCAACATGTAGAACCAGTCAAACCTCTCGTCGTATAAAAAACTACAGTAATTAGTATTTTTTTCGATATAAATAACACACACAAAATA